GCCAGAGCAGGTTTTCTATGCACATGGGGCTGCCTCTAGGGACATCCACAAGGTGGGTGTTTGAGCAGCCCAACCCACTGTTAGCTTTGGATCAGAAATGCGTGTATTTAGGGAGTCTTGGTCTACCTTGTTTTTAAATAAACTGCAGTACCTGCCTTTGCAGAATTCAGATTGCATGGGAGGAGATGGCAATGGGCAAAACCCAGAATAGATATACCCTGTTTCCCCGAAAATAAGACCTAGTACTATTTTTGGGAATTGCTAAAATATAAGACCTACACCGAAAATAAGACCTAGTTGTGACCATTCTCAGGGCCGGTGGTGACATAAGTGGGAACTTGAAGAGCCGCGGGAGAGAATCAGCGGTGCCAACGAAGCCGGCGCTAGAGGAAGCGAGGCGGCACCGGAGGGAGCAGAGCCACATAAGCCGATTCCGCCTCTATAGCGCCGGCTCCTGTCACAGGTGGAGTGATACCAAATGCACTCCGCCTGTGAGAAATCCATAGTGAAAGTGCGCTTCACTCATTCTGGCCAGCGATTGGTTAGCAAATTGCTCTTGGAGAGGTACAGCACCCCTGATGGCCCTGATCACCATATTTTTGTATGTGGATACATGTAGACTTTTCTACATGATTAAGTGTGGATTGTTGTACATTAAAAAAAGAAATAAGACCTACCCCGAAAATAAGACCTATTGTGTTTTTTTGAGCCAAAAAAAATATAAGACAGTGTCTTATTTTCGGGGGAAACACGGTAGTAGCTTTGATAAGTAGGTGTAACGCCCAGTGCAAGCAAAGGTTAAGGGTAGGATCTCAACTGCGAAGCCAGGTGGTGTGACCCACAAGTAGCGGGATTGATGGCTATTCAGGCTGGAACCTCTGGCGTCACTCACAGACTAATGGTGAGTTAGAGGCTCTTGCATCATACGCCGTGTGAAAACAAAGTCTCTTTAGCAGTGTTATTACTTCATAAGCAACTGCTGAGTTGGTAAAATTATATAGAATCTCAATTAAGGTGAGTGTGTGATGGGAACGGTAGTTCATACAACAGGATCACAGGCAACACTATTTGTGAACTAGTATCAACTTTAGATCAGCAATATCACAGTCTACTTCAGAACAGCAATCTCTTAGTATAGACTTCAGGTCAGCAATGTCTCAATATAAACTTCTGATCAGCAATGTCACAATATAAACTTCAGATCAGCAATGTCTCAATATAAACTTCAGTTAAGCCAATATCTCAGAGTAAAGTCATTGAGCAAAACACGTCATGAATTTGTATGGCATGAGAAATCCTGCAACCACAGAGGCAGGGTACTTGCGGTTTCTCAGAAGAGAGGTTATGCTGATAGTCCTTAGGCAAATCCAGGTCTCCTTCAGAGGTTCCTTATGGAGAAGGTCAGGCGGCCTAGAAGGGGTCCTGGTTCCAGGGAGCAGCCTCACTGTGGGTAGTAGCAGGGTGTTCGATCCTCAATAGTGGAACGCCCTGCTACCATTGAGGAAGGCTTTAAATAGCCCGAAAGTGCGGGAAAATGGGCAAGCGGTCTCTTCCGCGTTCCACGCTGGAACGCATCGACCGGCATCCTATTGAAGTGGCGTGACTACGGCCTCTTACTTCCTGGTGCCAGGCTGGCTGAAGCCACTCCCCTGTTGGACAAGGCCACACCTCCAGCCCGTCCTCAAGCTAGTGTGGAGGAGGAAGGGAGGAGCCTCCCTGTCCCTCACTAACTACCTGTCAAAAGCCGGATGCAGCGCTGCCTGTAATTAACAGGCAGCGCTTCATCCATGATGGGTTACACAGAGGGGAGGATTTCCCTGCTCTGTAACCTATTAGATGCCGATCTGAATGGAGAAAAAGCTGTCGGCTTCAAACTTGAAGCAGGCCGCTTTTTTCCCCATAATTCTAGGTGAGGCTCTGCCTCCCCTGACCGCACGCCCCTGCTATCGAGTCATCCCTGTCAGGCAACACACGCTGCTTCAGTTTGGATAGCTCCGGTACCAATGACAAGACTGGCACTTAAGGTCCACTCGGAAGACACCCAGGTTCACAGCAGGGAGAGGAGAGGCATGGGCCTTGTAGCGTGTCCTCAAATGTTTTTAGAGAACAAGATCATCCCAAAGAACAAAGGGGAACTGACAACAACAAGTCTATGGTAAGGCATGTAGCATCTAACGTTGCAGATGATGCTTGCAGTTAGACCTCAAAGTTCCTCATTCATTCCTCAGAGTCTGAGTCTGTTCATGGAGAAGCAAGCAGGGTGCACCATCCAGTGGGACTAACAGTTGAGGGGAGATCTCGGTAGAGCATGAGTGGTCCCAATCCCCAAATATCTGATGGTCATAGCCCTGGAAGTACAGGTTCTGTATGCAGCGGGCCATCTGCAGGATGCTTTGTTTAGTGCAATATTACAGAAACTTAGTGATGATATCCCTGGGGGTGTGCATCAGACCAAGGCTTGGCAGATTCGCTCAGATTTTATCTTCTCTACAGGGATATATGGGGTGGAGTAAGGCTGTGATTGTGAACTGGCGGTCTTCCAAAACTTTCGGGGATGTCTTGATATGAAGTTTGGGCCAACTCAGCTTAGAGTGGAGTGTCTGCAGTCTGCTGGCCTAGCTCTCGGATCTCCCCGGTAAGTTTGTCTATAATCTGTTTAGATGTAGCCTGCAGGGCTTTATTCATCTTATTATGCCAATCAATCCTCTGAAGCAGTTCAGGATATGCTCAAAATTTTCTTGTGGGCAAGAAAGAGCTGGTTCTGTTATCTCCCTCATCTTCCATGTGCAGGTATGGGAAAACTTTGCAGGAAGCTGGGGAGTCTAGGTTGGCCTGTGCCATTTTGGCTGCAGCTGGCTCTAAGGCCTCTTTGATGGATCTGACTCACTGTCTGGTGTTCAGTTGAGACATGGGGCAATTGCAGGGGGTATGTAGATAACCATACCGGCGGTTTTGGAGCGATAGTTAGTGTCTGGTGGGGTTTATAACTCTTATGATTTCAAAGTGGTGTGCAGC